GGCAGATGCCTAACTTACTACGCCTCAGCACCAGCCCCAATAAATAAATCTTTAAAAAATTATGTCAAAATCATGATCCACAAAAGAAAAATTATATATTGGACATCATCAAAATTAAGAATTTTCATTCTACCGGAGAAGAATGAAAAAACAGTCAGTGGACTGGGATGACAGCAATGCAAACAGCTGCTTAACCCACTGTACCACCATGCCAACCCCTTAATCTCTGAATTTCTCTCTCAACCTCTGTCTTTTTGCCTTTCAAATAAGCAATTTTTAGAATTTTTAAGATTTTATTTTTTATTTGAAAATCAGAAACACAGAGAGAGGGGAGAGTGAGAGACAAAGATTGAGAGAGAGAGACCTTGCATCTGCTGGTTCACCCACCAAATGGCAACAAGAGCAAGGAGCCAGGAGCCAGGAGCCAGGAGCTTTATCTACAACTCCCACCTGGGTACTTGAGCCATCTTTCACTGCTTTCCCAGGCATGTTAGCAGGGAACTGGATTGGAACAGCCAGGACTAAAATCGGTGTCCATATGGGATGCTGGTGCTGCAGGAAGCAGTTTAACCAACTATATCACAGTGCCAGCCCCCTAACATAATTTCTAAGAATTACTCTCCTAACTGTAAGTCACAAGGATTTTTCTATGTTTTCTTTTTTTTTTTAAAGATTTATTTTATTTATTGGAAAGACAGAGCTACAGAGAGAGGTAGAGATAGAGAGGTCTTCCATTCGCTGGTTCACTCCTGAGATGGCTGCAACAGCTGGAGCTGTGCCGATCCGAAGCCAGGAGCCAGCAGCCTCCTCCAGGCTTCCCAAGTGGGTGCAGGGGTCCAAGAACTTGGGCCATCTTCCACTGCCCTCCCGGGCCACAACAGAGAGCTGGATTGGAAGTGGAGCAGCCGGTACTAGAACCGGCACCCATATGGGAAGCCGGCGCTTCAGGCCAGGGTGTTAACCCGCTGTGCCACAGCGCTGGCCCCCAGGATTTTCTATGTTTTCTTCTAAGTGAATTACAGTTTTAAGTGTTATCACTACATGTATGATCCATCTGAGGTGTTAGGACAGTTGAAGTTCCTTTTTTTTTTTTTTTTTTTTTTTACAGCTGATCAATTACTCCACATCATTTGTTGAAAACTATCATTTCTGGAACTGGTGCTGTGGCACAGCAGGTTAACACCCTGGCCTGCAGTGCCGGCATCCGATATGGGTACCGATTCAAGACTTGGCTGCTCCACTTCCGATCCAGCTCTCTGCTGTGGACTGCGAAAGAAGAAGATGGCCCAAGTCTTTGAGCCCCTGTACCCACGTGGGAGACCTGGAAGAGGCTCCTGGCTCCTGGCTTCAGATCAGCTCAGCTCCGGACGTTACAGCCAACTGGGGAGTGAACCATTAGGTGGAAGACCTCCTTCTCTCTCTCTCTCTGCCTCTCCTCTCTCTGTGTAACTCTGACCTTCAAATAAATAAATAAATCTTTAAGAAAAAAAAATACTATCTTTTCTCCATTTGCACTTCTGCCAAAGATCAAGTGGATATACTGGTGTTAGCCTATGTGAGAACTCCCTATTCGACTTTACTGATCTCTGTGTGTAAACTTTTGTCAGTAACACACTATCTGGATAATAGCATTTCTTTCTTTCTTTTCTTTTTTGACAGCATAGTTAGACACTGAGACAGAGAGACAGGTCTTCCTTCTGTTGGTTCACCCCCCAAATGGCTGCTACGGCCGGCGTGCTGCGCCGATCCGAAGCCAGGAGCCAGGTGCTTCCTCCCATGCAGGTACAGGGCCCAAGGACTTAGACCATCCTCCACTGCCTTCCCGGGCCACAGCAGAGAGCTGGACTGGAAGAGGAGCAACCGGGACAGAACCTGGCACCCCAACAGGGACTAGAACTCGGAGTGCTGGCGCCGCAGGCAGAGGATTAGCTTAGTGAGCCGTAGCGCCGGCCTGGATAATAGCATTTCATAGTAAGCTTTAAAATCAGGTAGTTGAGGGGCCAAAAACGTGGCTTGGTAGGCTAAGCCTCCACCTGCAGCGCCAGCATCCATATGGGTGCTGGTTCATGTCTTGACTGTTCGCTTCCAATCCAGCTCTCTGCTCTGGCCTGGGAAAGCAGTAGAAGATGGCCCAAGTGCTTGGGCCCCTACACCTGCATGGGAGACCTGGAAGAAGCTGTTGGCTCCTGGCTTCATATTGGCTCTTCGCCAGCCATTGCAGCTATATGGGGAGTGAACCAGTGAATGGAAGACCTTTTTCTCTGTCTCTACCTCTCTAACTCTACTTCTCAAATGAATAAATAAAATCTTAAAGAAAAATCAGGTGGTTGACTCTTCCAATTTTGTCCTTTAAGAATTTATTTTTGGGGGCTGGCGCCATGGCTCACTTGGTTAATCCTCCGCCTCTGGCACCAGCATCCCACATGGGCGCCGGGTTCTAGTCCCGGTTGCTCCTCTTCCAGTCCAGCTCTCTGCTGTGGTCCGGGAGGGCAGTGGAGGATGGCCCAAGTGCTTGGGCCCCTGCACCCGCATGGGAAACTAGGAAGAAGCACCTGGCTCCTGGCTTTGGATCGGCGCAGCGCCGGCTGTGGCGGCCATTTTGGGGGTGAACCAAACGAAGGAAGACCTTTCTCTGTCTCTCTCACTGTCTAACTCTGTCAAATAAATAAAATACAATAAAAGAAAAAAGAATTTCTTTTTGGAGGCTGGTGTTGACAGCATCCCATATAGGCGCCAGTTCATGTCCTGGATGCTCCACTTCTGATCCAGCTCCCTGTTAATGGCCTGGGAAAAGCAGCAGAGGATAGCCCAAGTATTTGGGACCCTATTAGCCACGTGGGAGGCCTGGATGAAGCTCCTGTCTACTGGCTTCAGCCTGATCCAGTTCTGGCCATTGTAGCCACTTGGGGAGTGGACAGAAGATCTTTCTGTCTCTTCTCTGTAACTTTTTCAAATGAAATAAATATATCTTTAAAAAAATTCATTTTTGCTATTCTAGGTCCTTTATCCATCCATGTGAATTTTAGAATTGGCTCATCTATATTTACAAACCAATTCTGCTGGGATTTAATTAGAAATGAATTAAATAGATAATTTATAATTTGGGGAAAATTGATAGCTTTACTACAGTTTTGCAATAAATGAACACATATGCATCTCCAGTCATTAGCTCTTTGACTTCTTTTGGCAGCATCTGCAGCTTTTAGTATGCAGGTCTTGCTATTAAATCTATGAGATTTACATCTAAGAATTTATTTTGGAGGAGTTGTTGTGAATGATATTACTTTTAAATTTCAGTATCCAGTTGTTTATTGGTTGAATACAGAAATATAATTAATCTTTATGTTATTTTATATTGTAGAATCTTTTTTTTTTTGGACAGGCAGAGTGGACAGTGAGAGAGAGAGAGAGAGAGAGAAAGGTCTTCCTTTTGCCGTTGGTTCACCCTCCAATGGCCGCCGCGGCCGGCGCGCTGTGGCTGGCGCACCACACTGATCTGATGGCAGGAGCCAGGTACTTATCCTGGTCTCCCATGGGGTGCAGGGCCCAAGCACTTGGGCCATCCTCCACTGCACTCCCTGGCCACAGCAGAGAGCTGGCCTGGAAGAGGGGCAACCGGGACAGAATCCGGCGCCCCGACCGGGACTAGAACCCGGTGTGCCAGCGCCGCAAGGCGGAGGATTAGCCTAGTGAGCCGCGGCGCCGGCCTTGTAGAATCTTGATGAACTCATTTATTCTGTGACTTTTTTTGTAGATTCCCTGGGAAACTATGTCATGCGTAAACAGAAGTTTGTACTCCTTCCTTTCCAATCTGTATGCCTTTTACTTGCTTTTGTTATTGTGCTGAATGGGCTAAGATTTCCAGAACATATAGCTACTGAGAATGGACATCTCTTGTCTTTTCTCAGCCTTAGGGAGGACGCATTCAATTTCAAACACATGCACATGCATATAGTCTTCAAAAAGTTCAGGGAAAATGAATATGTGAAAAATACTACATACGGATTTCAGAGTTTTCTTACACCAAAATAAACTTACCTTTTCATTCCCTTTTCCATGAACTCTTTGAAGTCCCTTAGCATATACATATGTACACAATATACTAACATGAAAATACATTTTGAGACAAATACTATAAAGAATTCTATAAAAAGTAGTTTTAAATGCACTGACTGAGGTGGTTATGGATGTTATCTCAGGACCCTCTCACAGAATGACTGCGAATGATCAGGAGTTAACCAGGCTTCTGAACAGTGTGGGTGGGGGAGCGGGGAAAGGTGGTTGTGGAAGATGAGAGAGAACGAAGTAGACCATTCCTATTTTGACTTTAATGCACAGAAAAGGAACCACTAAACGATTTTAAATGAGACAACGTGTAGTCAAAATGATGAGTAACTTCTCATTTAAGTGCCAAAGCAATTTTTAAGTAGAGATGGAGACATCTGTTGATAGTTTACAGCTAGAATGTACATGGAAGAAAAAGTCAGGAGACAGTGACCAGAAGTAAACTGGAATAAATCTTCAAAGACACTAGAGAATTTTATGAGTAAAATGACTTCATTCTATAATTCCAGGTTAAGATGCTCTAAAGGAAATGTAGATTAAGATCCCTAATCCAAAATTCCAAAATCTGAAGTGCACCAAATCTGAAACTTTTTGAGTGTTGAAATCACACAAGTAGAAAATTTTACAACTAATGTGATAGACTGTAATCAAAATGCAGGAACACCAAAAATAGTATATAAAATTACTTTTAGGCTATGTATATTAGGTATATATGAAATAGAAATTAATTTCCTATTTAGTGTTGGATCCCACCTCCAAGATATCTCCTTATGTACTGTATATGCAAATATTCCAAAATCTGAAAAAATTCAAAATCCAAAACCACTTCTAGTCCCAACCATTCCAGATAAGGGACTCTCAATCTGTGTTAATAATAAAGGTCTGTGGCATAGGGACTTTGTGGCAATTCTTTTGATACAGACTCTATACCTTACCTTCATTTGTGTTTCTAATGGTGTTTGTGCCAAGAAAGGAGGTTGTCCCACTAGCATTTCAAAGAGAATAACACCAACACTCCACCAATCACATAACTGTGTATATCCTAAAACAAGATAACAAAATTACATAGCTGTTCAGAAGCACTCCCCCCAAAATTGCTCAGAATTAATATAATCAAATTTAACATTAAATCACTACTTTACATAATAAAGTTTATACCTTTATAATAAAGACATATTCTGGTATAAGTTTTAAGCTGCCTACAGGCCTATGAGATTTTTATAGAAAGACTAAGTAGTTCACCTGTTCGTAGCAATACTTCAGGTGCAATATAATTGGGAGTCCCAACCAAAGAATGTGCTAGACATCGCTGGTGCTGGCGTGCAGCTCTCCGCTCTAGTGGCTTTAGTCTATCTCCACATCGACAGTTTGAGGGATCACCCCATTCATTACTGAAGTCCATGCTATCTTGCCGTGGATGGTCACCTGTAAATATAGTCAAATAAACATGTAATTAAAAGCAACAAGGATAGGAGTAGCCTAAAGTTTGTACAATCTTTTGAAGTCACGGATTAGAGTTAACAACATTCTCCCTTGTGACAAATTAAGAAAACTAAGTCACAACATGTGCCTAATCACTGATGTGTTTATTATAAACAAGGGTCTGTCTTCTGAGATATTAATAGGAAAGGCTTCACACTAACAAAAATTAGCCCAATATTCAGTAACTTACTTAATGCTAAATGATAACAATATTAAGTTTTATATAGGTACAATTAGGAGTATGTTATTCTGATGGCTCCCTGTGAGTACTCTGGACAAACTTTCAACCAATTCAGTCAACGAATGAAAATAAGAAAGACAAGATTCTGCTCTCAGGTAGCTTACACTCTAGTGGGAAAGAAACACAGATATAAGAAGTACAATGATGTGTCCTTCACAGAGAATTAACACAGAATGGACACAGAATTAACATATGTGACTGGACAGCTGTATCAGACTGGACAGCTAGGAGAGATGACTGAGAAACTGATGTATTTGCTAAGATGTAAAAAACAGGTTAGTACTTAAGCATTTGAAAATCAGGGCAGGATGTTCCACATGGAAACAGTAACACAGAGGAGACCAGTACAGCTGATAAAGGGGAGAAGGATAGAAAGTGAAGTCAGCATACGTGGGTTTGGCAGGCAATAGAAACAGCTTGCCATTCACTCCAAGTATGCTGGAAACAGTTTCGAGAGAGAGGATGGGAAAATCTGATTTATGCTTAACAAAAGAAAACTCTGGCTGTGGTATGGAGAATACATGATAGGGAGGACAAGGGTGAAAACAGTGACCAATTAAAAGGCTATTGTAGGGGCTGGCGCTGTGGCATAGTGAGTAAAGTCGCCGCCTGCACCCCATAAAGGCGCCAGTTTGAGTCCCGGCTGCTCCACTTCCAATCCAACTCTCTGCTGTGGCCTGGGAAAGCAGTAGAAGATGGTCCAAGTGCTTGGGCCCCTGCACCTGCGTGGGAGACCCAAAAGAAGCTCCTGACTCCTGGCTTTGGATCGGCGCAGCTCTGGCTATTGTGGCCATCTGGGGAGTGAACCAGCGGATGGAAGATCAACCTTCCTCTCCCTCTCTCTCTGCCTCTGCTTCTCTGTGACTCTGTCTTCAAATAAATAAATCTTAAAAAAAAAAAAAAAAAAAGCTATTGTAGGGCTGATGATGTGGAGTAGTGAGTAAGGCCACCACCTGCGGCACCAACATCCCATATGGGCGCTGGTTCAAGTCCAGGCTGTTCCACTTCCAATCCAGCTCTCTGCTAATGTTCCTTAACTCCCTTTCACATAAATCTACAAATTGTTTAAAAAAAAAAAAGCTATTGTAAGTAAGCTTGGATTACAATAATGAACCTGGAAAGAAGTGACTAGATTCAGGACGTATTTAGAAGAGGAGTAAACAGGACTTGTTAATGGATTACATGTGGAGGGCAGGTCAAAAAAGAACCTGGATAACTAGGTAGGTGATGGCAGGGCACCTTACTAACACTAACACCATGAAGAAGACGGGGGGAAGCAGATATGGTGGTACTAATGAAGTGGTTTTTTTTTTTTTTTTTTTTTTTTTTTTTTTTTTTTTTTTAAGATTTATTTATTTGAAAGGCAGAGTTAGAAAGAAAAGGAGAGACACAGAGAGAGGTGAGAGATCTTCCATCTGCTGGTTCACTCCCCAAATGGGCACAATGTCCAGGGCTGGGCCAAGCTGAAGCCAAAGCCAGGAGCCCTCCCAGGGACATTACCAGGGAGTGGGACTGAAGTGGAACAGCTGGGACTCGAACCAGGACACATGATGGGATGCTAGCACTGTAGGCGGTGGCTTAACCCACTGCACCACAATGTGGACCCTAATTAAAGGTTCTTTATTTGCAAGGTTAACTTTGAAAGTCCCATTTTTTAACTTTGAAAGGCTTATTTGAAATCCACATGAAGATCTCCAATATGCAATTATATATAGAAAGCAGGAATTCCAGAGAGTGTTCATTTCTGGGCACAGAGATTTAGAAGTCATCACCAAGCATGAGAGGATTTCAAAAAGCTCACGGACGGGATGGTATTGTGATGCAGTGGACTAAGCTGCCGCTTGCAACACTGGCATCCTGTATCAGTGTGCCATCTGAATCCTGGCTGTTCACCTCTGATCAAGCTCCCTGCCAATGGGCCTGGGAAAGCAGCAGCAGATGGTCTAAGTGCTTGGGACCCTGCCACCCAAGTGGGAAACCTGAATGGAGTTCCAGGCTCCTAGCTTCAGCCTGGTCCAGCCTGCCTGTTGTGAACCAACAGATGGAAGATCTCTTTTTCTTCCCTTCTCTGTCACCCTTGGGCCTTTGCCACCCATTTAGGAAACCTAGATTAGGTTCTGGGCTCCCAGCTTCAACCTGGCCTAGACCCACCTGTTGTGGGCAACTGGGGAGTGAACCAGAGGATGGGAGCTCCCTGCTTCAGCTTCTAAAAAAAAAAAAAAAAAAAGGCAGTGGGGCTGCAGTGAGCCTAGAAATTCTATCTTTAAGAAGAGCTCTATGTAGTAATACAAGTGAGTCTGAGGAGACACTAAATTATAAATATAGTAAGGTATCTCAATGCCAGTGTCAACCTATTTAACAGAAGCACAGGAAGTTTAATAACACCCACTTCAGAGGACTATTGTTAGCAGTAAATCAGAATATACTCAAAGTACTTCCTAAATAATAAGTATTCAACAAAGGTTAGATCAACTTATATTGCCATTACCCCTTGAAGGAATCTTGGTGAGGTGGCTTGTGAGCAGAAAGGACATGGGTCCTGTAATCAGACAAACCTGGGTTTAAAGCCTTGCCTTTACACTTAATTTCTGTCTGGCTTTGGGCAAGTTACTTCATCTAACCAAATCTCAGCTTCTTCAACCTGCCCCACAACGTTATTATGAGGATTGAATAAAATCATTTAAATAAAGTGCTTAGGGCTAAGTAAGTTTGATCACTATACAATAGAATTCTAAATACCAGTGGAAAAAAATGTTTCATGTATTAACATGGAAGAACTTCAAAAGTTATCAACAGGGGCTGGTGCTGTGTTGTAGTGGGTAAAGCTGTCGCCTGAGACACCAGCATCTCATATGGATGCAGATTTGAGTCCTGGCTGCTCCACTTCCAATCCAGCTTCCTGCTCATGCTCCTGGAAAAGCACTGATGGATGGCCCAAATACTTGGGCCCCTTTATCCACATGGGAGACCTGGAAGAAGCTCCTGGCTCCGGCCTGGACCAGCCCTGGCCACTGTGGCCATTTGAGGAGTGATCCAGTGGATGGAAGAACTCTCTCTCTCCCTCTCTCTGTAACTCTGCCTTTCAAATAAATAAGTAAATCTTTTTTTTTTTTAACTTATTTGCCATATTTAAAAATTAAATTTTATAAACTCAGAAGTGTTAGTAATACATAGAAATCATCAAATCTGGGGCCGGTGCTGTGGCATAGCAGGTAAAAACCACCACCTACAGAGCCAGCATCCCAGATGGGCAACAGTTCAAGTCCTGGCTGCTCCACTTCTGATCTGGTTCTCTGCTATGACCTAGGAAAGCAGGAGAGGATGGCCTAAGTCATTAGGACCCTGCACTTGCGTGGGAGAGCTGGAAGAAGCTCCTGGTCCCTGGCTTCGGATAGGCCCAGCTCCAGCCGTTATGGCCATTTGGGGAGTGAACCAGTGGATGGAAGACCTCTCTCTCTCTTTCTCGCTCTCGCTTTCTCTGCCTCTGCCTCTCTGTAATTCTGCCTTTCAAATAAATAAATCTTTTAAAAAAAGTATATTAAAAAATCATCGGGGCCGGCACCGTGGCTCACTTGGCTTATCCTCCACCTGCAGCGCTGGCACCCCGGGTTCTAGCCTTGGTTGGGGTGCCGGATTCTGTCCCGGTTGCTCCTCTTCCAGTCCAGCTCTCTGCTGTGGCCTGGGAGGGCAGTGGAGGATGGCCCAAACCCTTGGGCCCTGCACCCGCAAGGGAGACCAGGAGGAAGCACCTGGCTCCTGGCTTTGGATCGGCGCAGTGCTGGCCGTAGCGGCCATTTGAGGGGTGACCATCGGAAAGGAAGACCTTTCTCTCTGTCTAAATCTGCCTGTCAAAAAAAAAAAAATCATCAAATCTAACATACTTTCATTATATAATACATATATAATATATATAATATAACAAGTGCCTAAGAATTCACCCAAGTTTACCTATCAGAGTCAAGACCAGATCCAAGTCTTCCGGTTCCCATCCAGTTAAAAAGTACTATCTTACATATTCAATGCATAAGCAAATCACATTATTTTAAAATTTTTATAATTTATTTTTATTTGCGAGACAGATACAGATAGAGCTCCTATCTGCTGGTTCATTCCCCCGAATGCCTTTGACGGCAGGGCTGGGCCAGGCAAGCCCTCCCATGAGGGTACCAGTGACCCAGCAACAACCTGAGCCATCACCTGCTGCCTCCCAGGGTGTGTATCAGCATGAAGCTGGAATTGGGAACACAGCTGGGATTTGAACCCAGGCACTCAGATAAGGGATGCACGTGTCCCAGCTGTGTCTTAACCCTATGCCAAACATTCATTCCAGTAAATCCACCCCAGTATTACGAAAAAATTAAATTTTCTGAGTTTACTCACCGCTCTGATAGTACTTAGAATCATGTGTCCATCTGAAGCCAGTGCAGAGGCCAAAGTCAGTCAATTTAATGTGACCATCACGATCAATCAAAATGTTATCAGGTTTAATATCTCTATGAATAAAGCCCATTTTATGAACACTTTCAACTGCACAGGTAAGTTCTGCTATATAGAATCGCGCCAGATTTTCTGGAAAGATGCCCATTCTAATTAATAGGCTCATCATGTCACCCCCAGGAATGTAGTCCATTACAAAATATAAATTGTCCTTATCTTGGAATGAATAATATAAACGAACGACCCACTCATTGTCAGCTTCAGCCAGAATATCTCTCTCAGCTTTAACATGAGCAACTTGGTTTCGAAGCAGAACATCTTTCTTTCGAAGAGTTTTTGTTGCATACAAAGCCTTAGTATCTACTTTTCTTGCTAGACAGACTTCACCAAACGCTCCTATTCCTAGTGTCTTAATCTTCACAAACATAGACTTGTCCATTTTAGCCCTTTTAAGACGGATGTAATTAGATTCTTTTTGGCAAAGCATCTTTCTCATTTGGTCCTGGGCATCTTGAGACAATCCAACCTAGGCAAATAAACTGGATGTTATATGAGGAATTTTCTTTTTTAACATTAAATCTTAAGAAACAACTTGGAAAAAAACTCAGGCATATATTTTAAAGGTTAAATGCATTATAATTTTTAATAAAGCATGTTAGAAATCTGTAATATATTTCTGAGAAAATTAATGATCAAAAGTGCAGCTTAAGAAACAGTTAACAAGATGTCTAAGGTAAGTGAATATATATGTGAATTCAGCTGTGGCAATTCAGGAGAAGAGGATACCAATAGTTAGCTTTCTACTCTTCTCTAATACACTCAGAAAATGTTCACAGTGTGCAACAAACAAACGTCTGTTAACGTGCATTCACATCTCTCTCTCCATGCAGTCATCCCAAATTCTAGGACTAGCTTGCCTTCACTAAATATTTCTCTTTGAAGAATATCTGACCCTCAAATCTTTCTTCCCCTCATAAAAAAGAAATTCTCATACTCCAAACATTTGTTCTTAAAAACCTGGTGTATCAAGAACAACAAAAGAATGCCTTCTCTATTCTATCAGCCTCTTCCCATTTTCCATAAATACACAATACTCATTCAGTCTTTTTTCTTCCTCAGAGCACTGGAATTAGAATGAGAGTCATTGTCCATCACTTCATTTGAAGGGGACAACCTGTATGGTAACAGGGTATCTTTTAAATATTTTTGGATATTTCAAAAAATAGGGTAACTTATGAAGATATCAAAAACCAGATAAAAACAAAAGTCAACTTCAAAATAAGATATAGAATACCTAGATTTAGAAGTGAGGCAGTCTTTTTTGGCAGCTTAATAAAGAGCTAATTACAGAGTTTAAATAGAAAAGGAATTCAGTTGGAAGAGTAGTCTAATTCTAGAAATGCAAAACTAACTAAAAGACAGTACCCCATGCTTTTGTTAGGATGCGTACTTGCATGCAAAATCTTTTAAGGATGGCATGCCAGACTTAGTATAGAACTGTTTCTCTTAAAATCTTACTTGTCTATACAGTAATGGAGGCTACAGAGGTCAGCAAAGCTTCCAACACCATAAAAGTTTAAATCAGCTATTAGTGAAAGTGAAGAGGAAAAAGGAAAAATAAACTAAGAAAATACATACAGACAGACTTTAGTAAGAAATCCTAAGAGCTAAAATATGGAAAAACCTTAGAGATTATCAGGACATTTTTCCTCAACAAAATTCAACTTATGGCAGGAATAACAATATTGTGCTATAAAATCAGATTTGGAAAATATTTAAAAAGAATGGCTCTCTGAAGTATGCACAGAAGTTTAGTTATAACTTTAAGCTTCTTGGATTTTTGAGTGATAGATCTAAGATTACAACTCTGAGCATATGACAACAATGATGATCCTGTGAAGAAATCTATTGGAATCACAACACAAATTAATCTGAGTGCTTATTAATTCCAATTTCTTTCTTTTTTTTTTTTTTTATGACAGGCAGAGTGGACAGTGAGAGAGAGAGAGACAGAGAGAAAGGTCTTCCTTTTGCCGTTGGTTCACCCTCCAATGGCTGCCGCGGCCAGCGCGCTGCGGCCGGCGCACCGCGCTGATCCGATGGCAGGAGCCAGGAGCCAGGTGCTTATCCTGGTCTCCCATGGGGTGCAGGGCCCAAGCACTTGGGCCATCCTCCACTGCACTCCCTGGCCACAGCAGAGAGCTGGCCTGGAAGAGGGGCAACCGGGACAGAATCCGGCGCCCCGACCGGGACTAGAACCCGGTGTGCCGGCGCCGCAAGGCAGAGGATTAGCCTAGTGAGCTGCGGCGCCGGCCCTCCAATTTCCTTTTAAGAACATTTTAACTTAATTTCAGCACATTTTTCTCTAGTACATTGTAAAAATGAAATTAGAAGGAAGAAATAACTGAAGGGAAATGTCTCTGACACTTTCTAGCAAGACATATGTGATGAACAAACTTACAAATTCAAAAAGTTACAAGTAAAAAGAAATGTTCATAAATCTACGAAGAGGTGACCCAGGGTGCAGGTATTTAGCCCAGGGGTTGAGACAGCAGTTAAGATGCCTGGATCCCACGCTGCAGGACAAGGGTTTGATTTCTAGTTCTTGCTCCTAACACCAGCATCCTGCTATTGTGAACCCTAGTAGGCAGTGAGGATCACTCAAATAACTGGTTTCCTGCCACCCAAGTAGAGACCTGGGCTGATTTTCTGGATACCAGCTTTAGACATGGCACAGCCCAGTTTGTTGCAAGCATGGTGGGGAGTGAACCAGTAGATGGGAGCTCTGTCCATCTCCCTCTCTATAAGATAAATAAACAGAGGTGACCTAGGTATTTCTAGCTTATTTTTAAATGTTTGAAAATAATATATAAAACCTAGAAAAGAATCCTTGCTCCAATTTCCATATAAAGGTATTATGCACTAAATCTGTATACTACTGTAAATTATATTTGTCTTAATTTATACAATAACTTTATTATAGGAAATTCAGAATAAATCTAGAAATAGTAAAATACTATAATCAAAAATCTTAAAATTTACTTTAAAATTATTACTATTATTATTATTACTCTTATTATTTTTTAACCTATTTCAGAGACAGAAAAGGAGAGAACACTCTCATCTGCTGGTTCACTCCTCAAATGCATGTAAGGGTAGGGATGGCATAGGACAAAGCTGATCTCAATTCAGGATCAGGGGTTCCCAAATGGCTGGCAAGAACCCAGTTACTATAGTATCACCACTGCCTCCTGGCATCTACATCAGCAGGAAGCTAGAATCAGGAGCCAGAGCAGGAAGTCAAACCCAGGTGCTCCAATTTGGGACACAGGCATCCTAGCAAGCAACAGACCTAATAGGCCAAACGCCTGTACCATTTACTCATTTTCAAATAATTGATAATATATTTTATTCAGCTATAAGAAAGGAAAGTCCTGGAGTACAACCAAGGCAACAGATGATCAAGTACAAAAGTAGTATTTTAAAAGGTTTTACCCGCATCATTTCGTTCTCTAATTGTTTTTTACGATGTAGACGTTGCTGATGGGATTTGAGCACATTTTCTACGTGTTGCTCCATAAAGAATTTAAATGCCTGGGGAGAATAACTTTGAATCCGAGATTCCCTTCGCTCTTCATCTTTCTTGTTTTTCCTAACAGTGATAGGTGAAGTTGTGATCTGTTTCTTTTCTTTATCTCCATTATCAACACTTTCATAACTCTTTTCACCCTCGTCTTCCTTGGGCAAGATAGGCTGATCCTCTTTGCTAGACTTATTGATTGATTCATATGGGGGAACAGGTGGGTTCTGGTGCAGCAGATGTTTTGGATAAGGTGGTGGTGGACCTTGATAGTTTGGAGCTTCAGCAACAGGTGCCATAACGGTCATATTTGAAGTGGTACCCTCAGAAAACGGACTGGTTTGAGTAGTCTGAATTGGTTGTGGTATCCAAGAAGGGTGGGTAGGTGCTAAAGCAGTCTGTAACTCTGGTTTTAATACACGCATGCTTTTCACAGGCTGTTGAATAGGAGCTGGTGTAATCGCAGTGACTGTTGTAGCTGATGGCTGAGAATTAGTAGAGTGACTTGCTCTATTTCCTAATGGATTATTAAAAGAATTTGACCTCACTGGTATGTTAGGTTGCCAGGTAGGGATCTCATGCCCACTGCTTGGGGATGACTGGGTTGGAGCAGAAGATGACTGAGGCCACGTTGTCTGTAGTCCAGGTACATTAATGTTGTAGAGTTCCATGTTATGACTGTTTCTGTTTGGCACCATCATAGACTGAGGAATACTTCCATTTGTATATGATGAAGGAGCAGCAGACCCCCCTGTTTGTAAAGTAGAAGAGCTTTGTCCATTTGTAGGGGTCAGAGGATATGGAGGAGGTGGCTGCCTACTCACAGCACTGGCAGGGACAACATTTTGGTGGATCATAAAATCAGTCTGACCACTACCATTCTGAATTCCAGGCCTCCCTGGGGGAAAGTTAAATTTGTTAGAACTCTGCATGATGATTGGCTGCCTGCCCACAGGAACAGAACTAACTGCTCTCTGCCCCTGACTAGGAGGACTCATGGAGGAAGTGTTAAGAGGTGGTGGAGGATAGCCCTCCTGCCAGGTCCCAGGGGGAACAGGAGAGATTCGAGAGATTACGTATTCCATATTCCCAGAATAGCGCTTAGTTTGAGAGTTTGGTTCCCACGAAGGGGGAGGTGGAGTTGTACCTCTTGGAGGTGGTGGTGGAGTGACACTCCTTACTTGAGGAGGTGGTGGGGGGTTCACTCTCTGTCCATTGCTAGGGTGAGCTTGAGCAAATGCTGTTAAACCGGATCCAGACAAAGGTCTTCCTACATCCGTCTGTGAGTTGGGACTTTCAGAACGATAAGCCACACTGTCTCCTAGTGCTGTGCCATGTCTCTGAGGAACTAAGGATTCCTTAGAACCTTTCCAGCTTTGCTTGCGGTTAATAGGTTGTTGCACACTTCCTTCATAAAAGAGAGAAAAGAAAAACATGTTTTTAACCTTTTATTTCGGAAGAATTTAGTTCGGAATTCTGATACTGAAAAATGATACTCAATTCTCTTTCAAGAATTAAAAAGAAGGGAGCCAGAATTGTGGCATAGTGGGTTAAGCTGCTGCCTGCATCACCGGTGTCCCATAGGGGCACCGGTTCCAGTCCTGGCTGCTCCATTTCCTATCTAGCTCCTTGCTAATATGCCTGGGAAAACAGTGGAAGACGGCCCATGTACTTGGGCTCCTGCATTCATGTGGGAGACCCTGAAGAACTCTTGGCTCCTGGCTTTGACCTGGCCCAGCCCCAATCACTGTGGCCATCTGGAGAGTGAACGAGCAGATGGAAGACCTCTCTCTCTCTGTCCCTCCCTCTTTCTCTGTAACTTTACCTTTCAAATAAATTTAAAAAAAAATCTTTAAAAAAAAGAATTAAAAATATGAGTAAGTTCAAGAGATGTTATACAACATGGTGACTCTGCTTAACAGTATTTGCATACTTGAAAATTGTTAGAGTAAATGTTAATTGTTCTCAAAACAAAAAGTGGTCAAGAATGTGAGGTAATATATGTTAATTAACTTATTTAGCAAAAAATTAACGAAAAATTTTGATAAGTAGCTTGTCTTTTAAAATTTAGTTTTTGACTAGGTAATACATTTTCATGGTTCAAAATGATACCAGTTTCCATCCTTAATCCAAAAATCTCCTTCAAAAGTCACCAATGTTATCAGGAAGTTACCTGAGAGATATATAAATTCATAGTATACTTTTTATAAAAACTACCATGCCTGGCTTTTTTCATTTAAAAAAGTAAAGACTATATCAGCAGCACATGAAATGGTGCTTTACTTTTTAAAAATATGGTTTTTTTGGTGGGAAGAGTAAGTATATTCCTAAACTTGTCCTTATGAAATTTGTATTCCTTAAAAAAATATGGTTTTTTTCCCGTATGATTGTACCCTGTTAATATAGTCAGTTTTCTGATTAATGAACATTTAGTTTTTTTCTATTTTTTTAAAATATTTATTTCTTTATTTGAAAGTCGAACTTATAGAGAGAGAGAAGGAGAGGGAGAGACAGCTTCAGGAGGGATGCACATGGAGCGGTGAGGGAGGAAGGGGACACCCGCCCAGCCAGCCAGATCAGCTGAATCAACCCTGGCGATCAATGGGGTGACAGATGTTGCAGCCAGATCACCCTCACATCCAATAGAGTGCATTGAAAATGAACCTTAATGGAGAATGAGACTGGAAATGGGAGAGGGAGGAGGATGGGTTAGAGTGGGGGTGGGAGGGTGGGTATGGTGGGGAGAATCACTATATTCCTCAAGTTGTACTTATGAAATATGTACTCATTAAATAAAATATTTCTTTGGGGGAAAAAAAAAAAGCCAGGTCTTGTGATGCCCACGCTAGGAGAGCACATTCATTCCTCTTATCCCATGAGCTCCTACTCACTCTTTCTCATTCATCCACAACTTTGGCAACTGACCTACCCTAAGCAAGCCAGCTGCACCCACATAGATGAGCCACTCATTGCCCTCATCTCTCAGCTCCCTTCCCCCTCTTCTACTCCACTGCTAGTATCACCTTCCAGATCATAATTCAAGTTGTGGTTTCATCCACGCACCCTCTTCTTTCACAAATTTAAGGCTTATACTCTCAGATCATGACTTCTCTTTTTTTGTTTGCTCCTGCTACAAAGTTCTTCAACCTCATCAAGATCTCCAAGATTAATCCCCTGCTTCATCAGTCTTCCTTTTTTGGGGGGAATAATTTATCCAATTTAACCCATAGTCTTCCACTTCTTTCTTCTCTCTGTATCCCTTTTCTCCTCTCTTTTCTAGTTGTTTCTTAAATATCTGTTGAGTATTTACTCTATGCCAGTCCCTGCCCCAAGCAATCCAAATACATTGCTGAATAAGATAATATCCCTATTGAAGCCATATTCTTGGGGGAGGAGACAATAAACAAATAAATAAATAACCAAAGTATGGGGCTGGTGTTATGATGTATCAGGTTGGGCCACCATCTGTGATGCTAACATCCCATATGGGTGCCAGTTCAAGTCCTCATTGCTCCATTTCTGATCCAGCTCTCTGTTAATGTCTCCGGGAAAGCAGCAGAAGATGGCCCAGGTACTTGGGCCCCTGCTACCTGTGTGGGAGACCCAGATGAAGTTCTTGGTTGCTGGCTTTGGTGTGGCCCAGACCTGGCCATTGTGCCAATTTGGGGAGATCTCCCTCTGCCTTTCTCTTTCTCTCTGTAACTCTGCCTTTTAAAAAAAGCAGACAAATCCTTAAAAAAAAAAAAAAAAAAAGATAACTTCAGAGTGTGATAAATTCCATATGTGTGAAACAAATGATGAGCGAGTAACAGGAGGACAGAAAACGACGAGACCTTGCAGCCAGAAAAGGCTCCCCTGAGGAGATATGAGCTCAGATGATAGAGACCCATAAATGAGGGAAAGAGTGGTACTACATGCAATCTAACAGGGAGAAGAGTGGGGGAAGGAAAGAGAAGCTACTGAAGGAAAAGCAGAAATATACTGTGATTAAGGATTTTACCAACCCTTATAGCAATATCATCTATCATACTGAGCACTTGTTTAGTACAACGTCAGTCATGGGTAATTGTAGCTATCTATTTTCTTTCCTTCCTACTAGAAAAGGTAACATCACAGACAGACCAGTAGACTATAAATTCATGATCATGGGCAGACCGATCCTACTATAAATTCATAACCAGCATCCCCAGGAAAACTTACTGTTTGTTTCTTTTTGAGGGATAATTTTTTAAATTTACATTCTTCTCTAAAATACAAATGAGGATTCAGTGAATCAATGTATGGGAGAAGACCCCAGTTCATTGGGCAGGGGCATGCTAATCCTCTCTGCATTGTTCCAGTTTTAATAAATGTGCTGCTGAAGTAAGCTCCCTTCTACTTCTTAGTCTCTATGACTGCCTGCTCTGTTACTCACCCAGAACTCTCAGTAAATGACATTTTCTACTTCAGAGGAAACAAGATATCAAAAAGTTAACCTGCTATCTTCCCCATATAACCTCAGCCTGTTTGCTTTGCTTAGGGCAGAAGACTGGTCCCATTTCCACCTAGGGCTAACAATCCCTCATCCAGTGCTTTGGATCTGATTTTCTCTCTCTGTAAGACTTGTTTATTTCAAAGGCAGAGTTTATAGGGGGAGGGGAGATAGAAAGAGACAGAAATCTTCTATCTACTGGTTCACTCCCCCAAATAGCTGCAACGGCAAGAGCTGAGTTGGTCTGAAGCCAGGAGCCAGGAGCCAGGAGCTTCTTCCAGGTCTTCCACATGGGTGCAGAGGCCCAAGCACTCTGGCTATCTTCTCCTGCTTTCCTAGGCACATTAGCTGGGTTGAAGTGAAGCAGCCAGGACGTGAACCATATGGGATGCTGGTGTTGCAGATGGCAGCATTATCCACTATGCCACACAGCTGACGAGCCTTCTCTTTTGAATATTAATTTCATCCTATTAACTGGAATCTTCAAATCTTTTAAATATATTCAAGTCCTTTCCTATTAAAAATAATAAGAAAACAAACTCTCTCTGCATTTTCATTTAGAAGTCTGCCTCAAAGTATCTGGTACTGATCCACAAATTGATAGTGGCCTATGATGAGGTAAATATGGAAAATTCACAGTAAGAATTTGAGAAAATGTTTATGTTCTCAAGGTATTCAATTTTTAAAAAACATTTATGTATTTGAGAGGCAGAGTTACAGGCAGAGAGATGGAGAGACAGAGAGAGAGGTCTTCCATCTGCTGGTTCACTCCCCAAGTGGCCGCAATGGTCAGACCTAGGCTGATCTCAAGCTAAGAGTCAGAGCTTTTTCCAGGTCTCCCACATGGGTGCAGGGGCCCAAGTGCTTGGGCCATGTTCTACTGCTTTCCCAGGCCATTGACAGAGAGCTGGATTGGAAGAGAGGCAGAGGGAGATGAACCAGTTCCCATATGGGATGCTGGCACCATAGGTAGAGGCTTGACCTACTATGCCACAGTGCCAGCCCCAGCATTTAATTTTTTAAGACAGAGAAATCTTCCATCCTCTGGTTCATTTTCCAAATGGGTACAACAGCCAGATCTGGGCCAGGCAGAAGCCAGGAGTCAGAAACTCCATCACAGACCCCCACATGGGTAGCAGGGACCCAAGTATTTGGGCCATTTTCTTTTTCCTTTTTTTTTTTTTTTTTTTAAGATTTATTTTATTTATTTGAAAGACAGGGTTACAGAAAGAGGTAGAGACAGAGAGAGAGAGCGCTTCCATCCACTGGTTCACTCTCCAGATGGCCACAACGGCCAGAACTGCACTGATCCGAAGTCAGGAGCCAGAAGCTTCTTCTGGGTCTCCCACATGGGTGCAGGCTTGGGCCATCTTCTATTGCTTTCCCAGGCCATAGCAGAGAGATGGATCGGAAGAGGAGCAGCTGGGACTAGAACCGGTGCCCATATGGGATGCCGGTGCTTCAGGCCAGGGCTTTAACCTGCTGTGCCACAGCACCGGCCCCTGGGCCATTTTCTGTTGTCTTCCAAGGTACATTAGTAGAAAGCTGGATTGGAAGCAAAGCAGCTGAATTCAAACTGGCACTCTTGATATGGGATGCCAGCATTGCAAGTGGCAGCTTAACTTGCTATGCAAGACACCAGTCCCAGAACTGAGAAACTGTAAATTTGACAAAACTAATCTTATGTCTGTTAAATATAATAGAATATTTGAACTTATATTTTATATAACATTTTAAATGTTAAAATTTCCTGATAATTCATTTTTACTGTACTTTACAAATTAACTCATGATTAATCAGACATTTTTTTAAGAATCCAAGATCTTCACCATATATTAGTGTTTGAGAAACACTACTCGTTAATATCCTCACCCTCCTGTCAAACAGAAACTTCTCAAAGAGCTGTCAATGACACTGTTCTTTGCTCTCTCATCCCA